GAAAAGGTTTATGAAATAGGGAGGGTATTTAGGAACGAAGGCATCTCGACGCGCCATAACCCCGAATTCACCACTATAGAGATTTATGAAGCCTATTCAGACTACCACAGCATGATGAACATGGCTGAAGAGGTTGTCACAAGATGTGCTCTTGCTGTACATGGGAAGCTCACCCTGGATTATCAGGGTGTGGAGATTTGCTTAGAAAGACCTTGGAGAAGAGAGACGATGCATGATCTTGTCAAAGAAGCTACAGGGATTGATTTCAACCAGTTTGGTAAGGATGGTGATCTTACAGCCGTGAAACAACACGTTCTTGAAACAGTTGATGTTTGTCGCGAGGACCAGCAGAGAAGCTGCATTGAAGCATGCCAAACCATTGGCCATTTGCTCAACGAGGTCTTTGAGATGGTGGTGGAACCAAAGCTCCTGCAGCCTACATTTGTGTTGGACTATCCTGTAGAAGTCTCTCCATTGGCCAAACCCCACAGAAGACATTTGGGGCTAACAGAAAGGTTCGAACTTTATGCTTGTGGTCGCGAGCTGGGGAATGCATTCTCTGAACTAACCGATCCTTTAGAACAGAGAAAGCGATTGGAAGAGCAGGTGAGGCAGCACAATGGGAAAGGAGGCTCCTATGAAGTGACTCTTGATGAGGACTTCCTCATGGCTCTGGAGTATGGGATGCCTCCTGCTTCTGGAATGGGACTTGGCATTGACAGGCTAGTTATGCTTTTAACCAACTCTGCCAGCATTCGCGATGTTATTCCTTTCCCTGTCCTCAAGATTCAACGGTGACATATTTAGTCGTTAAAAACGTATCTCGTGGAAGAAAATGTTTTGTTGAAACCAATGGATTTGAATCCTTGGTTTTTGTTGTGGGTATTCTATTGTTATTGATGCCAAGAAGTTGATTTTGGAGAATGACTCCCATCCTCCTGTCAGCATTACTAGAATTCTTGTAAAACAGAACGACCTTTGTGAAGTGTCATTTTCTGTTTAACATTTTTTTCCGTCTTGATTATCCATTTTATGATCATTTGATGCTATTGAACATTATTGTTCATGTAATTATTAAAATACATTTCGATTATAAATTTAATTCGCACTTGCATCATATCTGTATCTATATCTTTCGAAGCCCAAATGTACTCATGAGTGTCGGGCTCAAGTTTCAATCATGAGGCGTGTTACGACTTGGACTTGGGTACCTCAAAGTTAGTTCTTATGAGGCGTGCTCCGCGGACATGACTTGAACCTAAAAAAAAAACTAATAGTTTAGTGATCTGATTCGACTTGAAATCCTACACGGTCTGCATTACATCCAATCTAGATATCTGGAATATGAATTATTTTGTACTCCCTATTTTACCCTTCGTTTGGAGGGAGAGAAAATGCAAAGAAAAAAATGAGTGGAAAATCCTTGGTTTTCGTTGTAGGTATTTGATTATAAATTTAATTCGCACTTGCATTATATATATATATATATATATATATATATATATATATATATATATATATCTTCCTATTAAATTATTCCCGCCCAAATGAAGAGTAACCATCTGGTTAGTTATCGTAACCCTAGTCCATTATTCCACCAATTTGCTTTTTCACGCCTTCTCTTTTTTCAACACTGACTTTCATCTCTTCATCTAGCCTTCTTCCGCCTCACCTTCTATAAGTGGACACTGGGAGCCACGATAAACAACGCAGACATATGAAGTGTCGACGAAAGAGGATTAATAGATGTGCTCTCAGTTATTAAAAAAAGTATGAAAGAGAAGAGTTCATTGGGAAGAAAAAGATAAACTTAAGGAAATAGTTAGGATTTATTACAAAGATAAAATGTGTCCTTGAGGTTTAAATCTCACTCCTTCGTCTTACTATTTAAACATCATTTTTGTACTCATGAGTGCTGGGCTCAAGCTTCAATCATGAGGCGAGTTATGACTTGAACTTGGGTGCCTCTAAGTTAATTCTTATGAGGTCCGCTTTGCAGACATGACTCGAATAAAAAAAATCACAGTATAGCGATTTGATTCGACTTGAAATCCACTACGATCTGCATTACATCCAATCTAGAAATTTGGAACATGAATTGCTCCGCTGTCCCAATTTTACTCTTCGTTTGGAGGGAGAGAAAATACAAGAAAAAAATGGATGGAGAAGTAACACAAATTTCAAGATATTTTTCTCTTATTTGGTTGAAAATAAAAATGAGAAAAGAGAAAAAAAAAAAGAGGATTGACCACCATAAAAAATATCTCTATCAAAGAAGGTAAGACCATGTGTAGTCATGAATCTTCGAGAGAACGTAATCTGTGCTACTACAGAGAAAAGACAAGAAACGAATGCAAATATGGAGTAGAAACTAATGTCATATCTTTTATAATAAGATGTAGAATAAAACTTGCATCATTAGATGGGTGTTCTTCCTTCGTTTGCATGAAGAATTATACCACACCAATGACCAACTAAACCTCAATACATAAGAAGTCTTTTTTATCCAAATATTGTCTCTCATATATATATAGTCCCCAAAAACCAATCATGGAATAATTTTTAAATATCAATAACAAATGTAATATCATAGAATCGAGGATTATATATGAAAAACTCCAATTATAATGGATCATTTATGGAATTTACTTTTTTAATATCACATCTCCAAGCAAAATCCCCATTCTATATAAAGATCTTAAAAGTCAAACACAGTACTAGCTAGACCAATGATTATTGCTAAATTTATGTGACGTGAGCAAAATTTTGGTGAACTTTTTTCTTCTCTAGAAATCAAAAGTAGAAATGGGTAAAAGAGAAAGAAAGGAAATCACAATTAAGCGCAACTAAATCTTTGTAGAGACAAAAGAGGTTGGGGAGTTTGTGCTGTTAGACCTAATGAATTCAGTACTACATTAAACAATCACAAAATTACTAAATTGGTAAAAGCATGTGTACAAGACAGAAGAAGTCCTCCAGAACTTACTCTATGGCGTTCCCTGTACCTGTCGAACAACATTTCTTCACTCCGCTGGAGCATAAGATACTCGTGCATATCGAACCTTGCAGGGACTTCGTATTTGCAGTCGTTTTCGCTGTCTACTCTTTTCTTGAGCTTGGTCATTTCGTGGTACTTCACGATTCCGGGACTGTAGCTCCCCTGACTGCCGGAGGAGGAACAACTTTGGTCCTGAAAAGAAGGAAGTTAGAATCTCACAAAAAGTAAAGTCTCAAGGTGAGTGTACGCACACCTTACCCTTGCTTGGTAGTGGGGGGTGTGGGGGGGGGGCTGTTTCCAAGAGACCTTGACTCAAAAACATAAAAGATATGACATAAGTTTCTACTCCAAAAAGATGGTAGATGGAAGGTTAGAAGAATCAAGGGTCATTTTTCAATCTAGTGAAATCTACTTTTAAGCCCCTGGAGGCTTGAACACGCTAGGGACAAATAAGTCCCCAACGGGCCTTTTTTTCTTTTTGCAGCTCAGGTCACTTTTTTTGTCTTGTATAAAACATGTCTCGCTTGCATTTCCATCACAACTTGGAGAGGCGAGAAATTCTTTAGGAAATGGAAGAAAGAGCACACAATTCAAAATGATGCTCGATGAGGTTTAAGTCAGTCATTGGTGTGGTCATGGTATTTTTCTTCATACAAACAAAGAAAAACAAACCCATCTAATGATGCAAGTTTTAATCTACATCTCACCATTCATTAGTAAGAAGGTTGTAATGGAATAGGCATCCAACAAAAAGTGCCACTATGCTTCTTTCTTTCTTTTTTTGCATGAACTTCTAGTGTGAACCGAATGAAATTGCAAGCAAATAATTGGGAGTTCGTTGATGATGATGAGTTCTTATATTATACAACCGGATGTACAATATTTATTGTACATTCGGCATATGCACATTTACAAAATATAAAATGCTCATTTCGCACATCTTTTGCACATACTTCTTATGCACATTTAATATTTGCACAATGCTCATTTTGTTGCTATAAGGCTTCTAATCTGTGAAGGGATGAAAATGAAATTGCAAAAAATGCACATTTATTTTTTTTTACCCATACCCTAGCATGCATATTATAAAATTAGTGTATGCACATTTACAAGGTACATAATGCTCATTGGATGTACACGAAAGTATGTAAAACCGAATGTACAGCATAATTCTCCAATGATGATGATGAACGGGCACAAAAAAAGTAAAAAAAATAGAAGTGCAGCACACAACATAGAATTTACCTGTTTTGCATCCCAGATTACAGAATTTCTACTAGGACTAGGAGTCCTGAATTCAGTCTTGCTTGCGGAAGAGCCATCATTGATTGTCTCCCACTTTAACCAGGGTAAGATAACACCATCCATTTCACCAGGACGAAAACCAGATCTTTCTCGAATCTGGTGATTTTCTGCTTCTGCGCAAATTACACCATCCCTTGCCTTCATTATCCCTCCTAAAGTGGAACTTCCATCACTTCTTTCTCCATCAAAAGAAGATATATCTGTGTCTTCCACATTTGAAATGAAATCCTCGAAATATCTCTCAGCTTCCATTGTTAGTTGTCTAGAAAGCCTGCCTGGGTCATTACTCTTCTGAACAAAGTGTTGTAATCATAAAACCAGAGCAAACTAGATCAGTAATTAAAGTTTACTCCATATTAGAAGAATGAGTAAAATTTATTAAGTGCATCTTTGAGTGCCCGACATTAGTTGTCTAATGGGTTCAAGTCATCTCTTAAGATCCTTCTCAACCATTTGAAGTGGGTTAGACCCAATTTTAAAACATCATTGCCTGGTCTAATGGTGGTTTGTGAGGTGTCTGCCCGATCGATGGTTTAGGGCCTGTTTTGGGATTGGTTTGATTCCATTGATCCCCCCCCCCCCCTCCCCCGTAAGTTGCTCAGCTTAGGTTGGGCTGAGGGGTGCGTGAATCGGTTGCCTACAGGGTTTTTTTCTAATATATAAATTCTGTACTTAGCCATTTGGGATGCACTTGACCCAATTTAACAGCAACACAACAATCTGCAATCTAAGTAATAGCCTGAAGACACACCTTCCTGCCGTTCTTAGTTCGTGATGACTTCATCTCAGCAGCAGAATTTTTTGCGATGATCCTAGAAAGCTCCCTACCCTTTTGATCATCCAGCATTTCGGCTAGAATGTCTTGGTTTTGCTTTTCAGACTGTTGGTTTCAAATGTATAAGATCATCAGTTTTGATTTGAAATATTCATGCTGATAAAAGATCAAACAGCTACTTATACTGTGTGTATCTTTAGAAGTTAGAGGAGGTAGCTACTGCTTTTATTTCATTCCTGGAAAACCAATAAATGCAACTTCTTCAGCCCCGCACCCCATTAGTAATAACAAGATACAAACAAAGAACATAAGCTAGGAGAAACAAACCTCTTCCAACCTTGCAACATAAGTGCTTCTAATGGCAGAATCCAGCTGAGAGTGGTTGCCACTCTTCCTTGTCAAGCCCTGTATAAGTTGCAAAAATGTACTTAGTACCATATATAAAGGATACATCAATGATTGGCAAGTAAAGTCTACAAAGAAGTGTATTTAAATTGAGTGGTGTCTTGGACCATACTTGTTCAAGTTCAACTTTGAATTCTTCAACAGCATATCTAAGTCCTTTCTTCATTGCTTCATATAACCCACTATTTATGTCATCTTGAGTAGGGTGTTCAGCCTGTGAAAGAAAAAATGAGTCACAGAAGCATCATAAGACACCACGGTCAGAGTGTCGGCAAAACGAAATGTCCTAACCTGTTTCTGGGAATAAACAGCATGAATGATTTTCTCGTTCAGAATTCTACCAGAATGGTCGTTTAATTCATCATCTGTTAGGGCAGAAGAGTGACTCTGAAACAAAAGAAAGCTAAAATTGGGATCCACAAACAACTGTAGGAAGGTGGAAATTCACATCCAAGGAATGACAATACAATAGGGAGTTAATCAGAAGGGAGAAAATTCAAACGGTCAGCTGAGTGAGGTTTAATAAAGCTGGTTTATTATTTCTAAGAAAGTAGTCATTTCTTACAGAGTATCCATCATGTAAACGTGAAGGGTCTTTTTGGTTTATTGGCCTTCTTGATCGTGGACCATTCGCAGATGTTGGCTTATATGAAGGAATCCCATTGTTTGTATTGCCGAGACTCTTGGTGGTACCCAGGGTTCCTTGTTTGCGAGAATGGTCAGCATCACTCTGCGATGTAAAATAAATACGATTTGTCAAAAAGTCCATCTTCTTTGACTAAGGCAGGAAACAAGGGCAGCTACTTATGATTGCAATTATATTCTTAAATCACTCATGTCCAAGAATACTAAATTCTACAGTGCTGTAGACATTAAAATAACCACACATTAGGTTCCTCTTCCCCTTTTTCTAAAAAGAACTCCTTGAGTGCCCATCTATAGGTTTCACCTATACGGCTACTCAGTGGGAGATTGCATACTGTTTAGCTAAAGACCCAGCTCTGTGTTTTTTCCTTTTTCGAGTGTATTGATTCTAAATGTGTACACATTTCCATAGATTTTAACCTTCTGAGTAGAAAGATGCACAAGAACTGATTCAGAATCTCAGGAACCTCATAAATCGCATGCACAATGACATCAAAATATGGAAATTTGCATTTTTAATCCAACTTATGCACAATCAGCCATTTGGGGCCACTGTTATCAGATTTTATGCATATCATCCATTATTAATCCACATGGCAACAAAAACTTCACATCCTCATTTTAACATTATCGTTCCTTATCATCATTTACAGAGTATTTTTAATACAAGTTTCATATCATTATTAGCATCACTAAATGCATAGTCAATGCCACAGCAAAATCTCACACCAAGCAAAACTTAGAAATCAATATTCATACTTTCTTGGTGTATCATTTTCTATATAGTGTCTTTGAATATGCTTCCAAGAGGAAAACTATAGGATGCTAAAAATTGTTTTTTTTGGGAGGAAATAAGAGTGGAGGAAAAGGTAAATCCGTAAAATTCTTTTGTTGGGGTGGAGGTTGGTGGTGCACGGTGCACGAAACATAAAAAATCTTTGGTTTAATTTTGAAGGAAAGGAAAAGAATATGTGGTGAGTTTATAAAGATCCCTGACTCCCTTAGTTTGGGTTTCCTTGAAATAATGAAATCCCAGTCTTCCCTGATTTAATTGCTGAATTTCGTATATTCTCACTGCAATAGTTTTCCCCATTCTTATAGGAGGAGAGTACATAATCAATGTAAACACAACTGCATAAGTAAACTAGAACAGGAACCATAGTCCTATCTCCAAACCCAACAGAAAGGACACAACTAGAAGTCTAGAACTAACTGCCTAAAATTCCAAGCCAAGCAATCTAAATGTACAGCTTGCAACAGCAATAGGCCCATAAACAACTCTTAAGCTGCTAGTGCAATAGTTATCCACTACCACGAGTCTCGGATGGGGGTGGGGGGGGGTTAACCCTTCCCATCAAATAGTTTCTTTGCTAGTTCACCTTTCACTCTCAATAACTCATATTTCCCTTTCCATCTCTTTCTTTCTCTCCTTCAAACATGACTTTGTTAGACAGGACCAAATCAAAGCAAAGTAGAATATTTTATTGATGTAAACTGTACAGGAATATTTGTGTTCTCTAAATATAAATAGAGAACAAACCAACATGACATTTACTAACCAACAAGCCAGTTGATGAGGTTGCTCATCTGGATGCTCTTGTTGGATATACAGATTCTACAAAACCAGACCAGTCCTGCCATTGGCAGGGAGTGCAGTACCCATCCAGTGTGAGAGGAAACTGGAAAGAGTGTGAGCATGTGAGAGCCTTATGGTTTTACTTTTCAATCCAAGACAGATGGAGTAGGTGATGATTGGTGAGATTTAACAACAAGATGAAGATGGAATCTTGAAGTTCAATGGTCTTATGATGGTTTGTGTTGATTTTTTTTTTGTGGCAAATCAAGTGTCTTTAGCTTTGAAAGAGAACAAGAGTGTACCAAATAGTCGAAACTGTTGAAACTTGAACCAGTCTAGGAATTATATACTACCTCCGTCCCAATAATAAATTCCTTACGGTTCCACTTTCACAGAGTTTAAGAAAGTTGTTGAAGAGTAAAAAATATGTGGTTAGAGTTTGTTTAGAGAGAGAACTCTTGATAGCGACAAGATCATTACCAACATAGGGAATAAAGTAAGTATAAGGTATTTTTAGGACATCCAAAAAAGGAAAGTGGAAGGAATTTTATGGGAAGGAGGGAGTAACACTTAAGAGAGAGTGATAATAACTACTACTCCCTCCATGCCGAAATAAATTCACGGAGTTCTAAAAAAGTGTTGAAAAGTAAGTATGTGATCGAAAAGTGTTTAGAAGATAGAGAAAACTTGTGAGCCTCCTGTTGTATTCTTTAATAGGAAAAAGGAGAAGTGTGAAGTTTATTTCGGGGTGGAGAGAATATATAGTTGAGATAAAGAAATGCAATGATAGAAGACAGGAATACTGGCAAGTGTCTAGAGATGGCCTCATAGTTAAGGAAAAGGGATGAAAGTAATCAAGCTTGATAGATCTTGTGGGTTTATTTTCTAACCGTCAGGTTGCATTGGTGAATATTAGTACTATTACCGCATAAATAAACAGGCACAAATTTGTTTAAAGGAAATCATCATACATTTCAACATTCTAATGAGAGCAAACTGAAACGCAATGATCAAAGAATATGCTCTATAACCACATCAACAAGCCACAACTCTACGAACTTATAGAAGTGCAAACAATGTCAATATTATGCCATTGCATCTTAGCAAACAATGCTGGTTGCAGGTACGAAATGAAGCTGAGTTTTCAAACCATGTTCAAATCTGGCTAAAGTGGTTTTCACTTAAGACAAAGCTTCCAAAGATCGTTAGGTGGTAGTCAGGTGGTGCCGTTGTAGGCTTGTAGCGCACCTTCTAGGAGACTTCTCTTGCTTTTTTAGGTATGTAGTGTTGTTTTATTTGTTGATGTTTTTAATAACTTTTGGTGATGAAAATAGTGCATATACTTCCTAGAAGTTATGAGGCTGTTTACTAAGCAGAAAGGTTTGAATTATGAAGAGTAGAAAACAGAAAACATTTTTACTTCACTAGTTTTCCGAGTATAAAAAGAAAAAGAAAATTGCTATCTTGTACATTTCAGATTTTCTAGAAAGCTAGAAAGCACTTCTTTATGTTTTCTTAAATGAAATACCGCTTTCTTTAGGTCTCAGTTCGGCATTGATCCAAGTTCTGAGATTTTTGGTTTAAGGATTTAAAAAAACCATAGATTTTTGGAGTATATGACATAGATCGCTTATTTTGATGCAGTTATGCTAATCATATTAATTTTGAAAATTGCCAAACAAAAACCATTTTTTCTAGTCTTCATAATCATGCTTCAGCTTTCAAAAAAATGGGAAATAGAACGAAGAGGGTGATACTAAAGAATCCTTGTGAGCACAGCTAATCATCAATGACAGCTACATACAGGCCCCGCTATTAGACATTACAACCGCTTCCATTGTCACTAACCACCGCCGGTGAACTGTGGCAACTGTCAAACAATGAGTTTACATTTGAGCAGTGAAGTTTCAGCTTCAAGCACCCTCAGTATAATAAACTTTGTAGATCATGTTTTATCACGCTAAGGGCTATACAAGGTAGATTGACTGTTTCCAAACACATAAAAATCTGAAACCTTCCCAGACACAGTTTTGAGCATTCAGAAAATTAGGTAAACACTCATGGGGCTTAGCAACTTGAACCGTATGCAATTAGAATGTGATTGAAATTAATTCAGACAAGCCATACTCCATAAAGTTAGAAATTCAAATTCTAATTAGCAGAAGAAAGAACCTTCACCTCAGAGTCGCTAATCTGATACCTAACTGACGAAACAGATCGCCGCCTCCTGGAATTGCTCTCCGCCTTCTCTGGAAGACCATTACTAACCCGTGAACGATCAGAAACAATGCTCTTCCTATCTCCACTATTCCAAGAGCTTTGCCTGGACACTGACCTCCCACGCCTTTGTGACGACGCCGTTTCGCTCGCCCAACGACCAATGTCCGAGCCGCGCCTGGCCGAGCGAGCGCGGTCCGGATCACTGCTGTCAATCTCCTCATCCCTCCTGGAGAAAAACTCCTGCGCGAGATCATCGAGACTGATCTCCGGAAACACCGAGCCGGAGCCGGAGCCTCGGACAGTGTTCACGAATTTTCTCCTAGGAGTGGGCTCAAAACCTGAGCTGGCAGCAGCCTCTGGTGGCTCTTCACCGAACGGAAGCCTCCGCGAGAACCGACTGAGACTCCTCGACCGGCGATTAGCTCGATTACCGGAATATGAGCTGGTGGATGAGGAGGAGGAGGAGACCTCGCCGGAGACGCCGCCGATGGGAGCTCTATTGGTCGTCGATTTGAAAGCAGAAGTCGCCATCCGTGGTAATCCTCAGCGCATTAACGGCCTAAAACCAGAATTAGCCGGAGGAAGAGGATAATTTGGCGGAGGAATCAAAGGAATCCTCTACGTTTTGAAATTGGGAGGAAAAAAAGTGAAATTTGAAATTGGCGTTACGAGTTGGGCGAGTTAATTCCATTTATGGACTTCGCCTTCTTCAACATTGAAACCCAAGCTTTCCATTTAAACTCAAAACAAGATAATCGGCCCTTCCAGGTCCACCTCCTACCAGCTACTTGAGAAAGATGACACTATTTTCAAATAAGAAATGAGACATAAATATTTGTCTAATTCGATTTTTTTGAACTAAATTGAACAAATTATAAGTTTTAATTACTCTTCATTTACATTGTGTATTAATATAATAAAATAAAATTTAGAAAATTCTTAATACAATAAGTCTAATAAAATTGTTTTTATACTAATATATGAATTGCATTTTTTTATTTAATTAAAGATCAAAATTTATCTTATTTGACTCAAAAAAATCAAACTATACAAATACATTACAATTGCACATTGCACTCATACACTAGTGGTTTGGTAATGTGTATCATTATTTACTTTGGCCTTTTAAAACTTACATAACTCCCTTTCTTGATTTTAAAATCATAGACCAATTTATAGGAGTGTATTTGTGTAGTGGCATATTTCAAATGAGAAATATGTATTCATATAATTATTGTCGGTGTGTGCATGTGGCAAACATGGCGTAGTGAGAAAATTTTTAGTTTGTTCCTGATGGTGTAAATTATCGACTGGTATATCGTTTTTAGCCCGGCTAAAATGATAAACTAGTCTAAAAAATACACCAAAATATAAACACATGAATTTTTACGTGGAAACCCAAATCGGGAGAAAACCACAGGCCTTTTTTGGCGGTACCTTGCCAACGGGGGATTTTTATTAATATCGGGGGTGTGTACACGGTACATAATTTAGGCATAGAAGCCATTAATGGAAGCTATGGAAGCTTGAAGCCTCTTTAAAGAAATAAACTACCAAATTTCTAGAGAGAGAGGAAGTTGGCAGGGGAGAGTGTGATAGATGGTCTCCCCCAATATTGAGGGAGAGCCCTCCTTTTATAGGAGTAGCTGGAGCATCTTCGGAGGAATATTCCTTTATTCCTATATTTTATTAAATAGGCCCGGTTCGACTATTCTTCGTAAAATAATTGGGAAATGTGGGCCGAGCCACGTATTATTTCCCATCAATAAGTCCTCCACTTTTTTAAGTTGTGAGAATCATCAACTTGAAAAAGTAAACAAGTCCTCCGAGTGCTATCTTCGATCTTCGTACTTTGGATTCTTGACCGGTTGATATTGTTGCTAGTCCTCTGAGTCTTCATTAGTTCTCCAATTTCTTGAATCAGAAGGTTTTCCTGCAAAAATAATATGTATAACATTTTTTTTCCTTGACCGGCCTATGTCGTGCTCAAATAATTTTATTATCTTTACCGAAGAGCTCGGTGTTAGGTGATTAAAAACTTCGCGCGAATAATTATTGTAACAAGAGCGATGTCAGTTCGATAAAGCAGCGATGCTTCGAGTAGTTATACGACACCGGAGTTAGTACGATGAAGCGGCGGTGCTTCAAGTAGTCATTTCGTCGAGACCGATGTTAGTACGAACTAAGTAAACGATACACGACGAAATTAGTATACAGACGACATTGACTTTAGTTAATAAGAATTGAATCCGATGCAGTAGCTTTGTTGAAGATCAGCGTTAGCCCGGCTGACTGATGTAAATATCTTCATGTCTCGCGGAGACCATCTTCGATCAAAGTGCCTCGGATAGAGGGCTTAAATGAATCGGGCGTCCCCGATATGAGCTCGGCTCACTTTTTTGCTGAAACCGATGTGCAATCGGTGTACCCAATTCGATTGGGCTCGGGCTTATTGGAAAATATGTGTAAGACCGGTGTGAGACCAGTGTACCAGTTCGACTGGGTCACATATTTTCTTTATTATACTGAGCAAGACCGGTGTAGCAACCAGCGTGCCAGGCCAGGCCTGTGTCTCAGTCTTCCAATAAGATAATGCTGCTGGCCGGGCCAGGTCAACATTGGAGAATTAACCATGTCGGATGGTTTCGAGCCCTCTCCAAGGCCCAAAATGCACCCTTCTTCCAGGGCCCCCTCTTCCGGGTGATTAAGTCTTTTAATGGCCCTTTGATATTTACTATTCCGGGAAGGCCTTAGCTCACCCCCCGTTTGAGAAGGGGGAAATAGGATGCGCCACGGTGGACGATCCCCTTCTATTTCTTTTAATGGGCATCTTTTAGTCCCCAATCAATTTGACGGCACCGGCTGATTCCCCGATACCGGTCAAACCTCATGGGCCCGTGTAAGTACGGTTCGAACCTTCTTCCAGGTTCAGCCCTCTTGCAGGCATACCCTCTTCCGGGCCCCTCTTCCGGGTTTATTATTTTTTATTTTATACTGAGCAAGACCGGTGTAGTAACCGGCATACTAGGTCCGGGCCTGTGTCCCAGTCTTCCTTTCCAAAATTTGCATAAATGCATGTGACATTGATGTACTTGATGAATTGCATCAGCCACTCGTGAATAATAATGTCCTTCAATGTACACCTTGCAATGGGCTCACCATGCTCTAATTTGGATTTTTGCGTGTGGCCATCTCCTTGTGAGCTCACCACCATATACTCCCATCACTCTATTGTGCGGCGTATATTATTAAATCAAAGAGATGGGCCCTCTCTTTTCCATGATGAATGTGGTGGAGCATCTTATCTTCCTCTTCCTTCCCATTTGTATAATTCCGCAGAGAAGAAATAAAAATGGACCCATTCCAAACTCAATTGAAATTACTGGGTCCCATGGAGAAATAAGTGAGGGATCACTCCTTGTCCACTTGCCTGTGTCTTTCACCATAATTGAAAGGATAAAATGATATATGAGGGTGTAGGACCTCACCACTTTGTACTCCCTTGTTTGATACTCCGTATCATTACACAGTGATAAGGCCAAATGAAAAGCCTTCATATTTCTCCATTCTGAATCTGCATTGTCCACCATACCCATGTGCCAAATTTTTGATGAGATCTCTTTGTTCAATTTCTCCCCTTTTTCTCTCAAGGAAACTGCCCCTGAAATTGACTCCTTCACGCGCGGCAGTGCTCCAGCGCCGAGAACACCGAGAACATGCCTTGGCGTTGCTACCCCGACATTGGATTGGGCAATCTTTTGTTTAACTAGCCGTCCTTTTGCACTTAGACTTTTTGAGAGTGAAATCCATCTTGCTGTTATTGTCTTCTGGGAGGAACTGAGGAACTGGTACCACGTCAATCAGCATCAACACCTTCAAGGACATTATTGGAGCCAGAGCTACGGCAGGAAGCAACCCGGGATGAGGTGGAACCACGACCTCCGTAGTGCGGTTATGATGGCTTTGTTCTTCGGCAAGGCAAACAGCAGCGGGAGCAGTTTACGCCAGCTCCGAACGGCGGTCATGATGGAGCTACTATGAAGCCAGTTGCGGAGCTGCCAGAGCATGGTCTTGTTCTCTGAGGCGGAGTGACGGCAGCAGACAGTGGAGATGATAGACTTTCAGCATGGTAGTCTTTGATTTGGGCAAGGTGACAACCCGACAATGGTGGTGGTGATCCACTTCCCCGGCAGTGATGAATTGCTTCCAGCCGCCATGCTGGTGGACTCCCATCACGGATTCATGTAGCAGTAGATTTTAGGGTGGCTATGGATATTAGCCCGTAATAGAGTGGCGGGCGTAAATCGGACATTCACGCACCCAAAAATGGACTTGAAATACGCTTCTGTGTGTCGTCTTCTTCGAGTGTCTGTTCGTTGACCATCCTTGTGTTTCTTCCATTGCCGGAATGGGGCAGCTACGCCGCCTGAGTCTCCTCCTCGTCGCCGGAAATAGTAAGGCACTGGAGGAAGGCGTCGGACTGCTGGATGTTGATTCCCGCTTCTGGTTCGTCGTCGGATAGAAGCTCGTCACCGATGATTGGCTATGCAAGTGGTGGAGAGGCGCGGGTCGGGTCACGAAATCTGGGTCGCGCACAGTCTCTTGTAGCACCGGTGCCGGTGTCGAGCGCCGGATGTGGACGATAACTCCCAGAAGCTTCTTTCCCTTCTAACTTTTCGGTTTCTGGCGGCGGAAATTCAGAGGATATTTGGGCTATGATTTCGGCCCATTGAGAAATGACAACTAGGGTGGTTTTTCTTATCCGGATCTCTCTCCTTTTTTTTTTGTGGGCGTGGGGGAAAGAAGAACAAAAAAACAACTATGCTCCTCTTTTCTTTCATCTCTCTCTCTTTTTTTTTTGAGCAACACCTCCCTCTCCTCTTATCCTTTGGAAATGAAGAAACTAAAAAAAAATATGGCTTTTCGATCAAGTCCCACTGGTGGCGCCAAAATGATGGTGTAAATTATCGACTGGTATATCGTTTTTAGCCCGGCTAAAATGATAAACTAGTCTAAAAAATACACCAAAATATAAACACATGAATTTTTACGTGGAAATCCAAATCGGGAGAAAACCACGGGCCTTTTTTGGCGGTACCTTGCCAACGGGGGATTTTTATTAATATCGGGGGTGTGTACACGGTACATAATTTAGGCATAGAAGCCATTAATGGAAGCTATGGAAGCTTGAAGCCTCTTTAAAGAAATAAACTACCAAATTTCTAGAGAGAGAGGAAGTTGGCAGGGGAGAGTGTGATAGATGGTCTCCCCCAATATTGAGGGAGAGCCCTCCTTTTATAGGAGTAGCTGGAGCATCTTCGGAGGAATATTCCTTTATTCCTCTATTTTATTAAACAGGCCCGGTTCGACTATTCTTCGTAAAATAATTGGGAAATGTGGGCCGAGCCACGTATTATTTCCCATCAGTTCCTACTCCTCCTAGCACAACTCAAAGGAAATTGCTAATAAAATTAAATTGTGTATTGAAGAAATACAAATAAATGTTCATAATGTATGGAATCTTTGCATAAAAAAGGACATTTAAATAATACGGTATTCAATATAATCATAAATTAATTGTTAACTCGTCTATGATAGATATGTCAAATTTCCATATTTATAGTTGTACGTTTCAATTTTTCTTGATGATTGTTTCATACTTTCTTCGTCTTAATTTTGATTATAATTTTTTTTCTCTGCGCTCGAAAGCTTTTGTTTATTTGTGTGTGTTCATTTATTATTCACTAAAATAAAATATTCTTGTCACATCTTGTTCGGTGAAACTTTTGATGTAGTTTTTTAATATGTAATTTTTATTTTTTAGCGATATACCAATTCATA